AATAAAGGTTGAACCATTTATTAAATCTGTCCCTAGCCAATTGGTTTCATTTTAATAATGATTTTTTCCACCCCCTCTTTAATGTTAAATGTCTCTAACTCAAAATGTGCAAAGCCGATCTACCTTAAAGGACTCCTTTGTTCCAGGCCAAGGATACAGGCATGTATTACTCTGCTGTTAGCTTTTGGTGTCGTATCAAATTGTTTCTTTAAAATCACACAATGTTCAGGTAAATCAACTGACAGTTTTAAAGAGCCTTTCAGTCCTTTTAAAATGGGTATCGTTCTGCTGACAGCACTATCAAGTATCTGCTAAAAATAAAATGGAGATGTTGCCGCTCAGAAACTTGTCCCTTTAATAATAAAAGGGGAATGATGTCGAAGAACTACAGACAAGCTACAGAAGAGCAGACACAACGAAGGCCTGTGTGGCCCGTGTGCCCTGCTTCTTGGACAAACCTTTTAACCAAACAAGACTGCTGAACAGCATCACCACATTCAGTATCAGAAGTATTTTGCATGTGGCAAAACACTCCTATTAAGGATATAAGAATTTGTCCAAGAGCAGAAACACTGTGAATTTCCCAGGACCAGCCCATTTCACCCGACAACAGCTAGCGGTCACCAGGACTGCACCCTGCACAGACCTGCTTCAGGCCTGCGACTGCAATAAATATCCACGTATATTCTCTAGAAACAAGGAGAACACGGAGGGAAGGCAGGGAGCCACAGATACGATCAACGGCCTGGGACAATATTTACCACACGGTTTTTGCCTAATCTTCATATGATGCTTGGGGAAAAAGTGCTCAGGACCACGAAGCAAACTGGCTCAAAAAAAAAAAAAAATCACGTAAGTGCCGAGCAAGCGCTGGAACTCGGGTCTGTCTCTGAGGGGGAGGTCAGTGACCTGGCAGGCTCGGCTGGGGAAGGCTCTGGGGCTCCCTTGTGAGGAGACCAACTGCTGTCTCACTGAAGCTGGCGCACACGGGGAATCATGGCCTCTTCCTTTTTCATTCAGAAGGACGTTTGCTTCAATGAAGCAAGTCATCACTTTAAAGCAGACATGCAAACTGGTCTTCTTACTGAACTGGAACAGCCCTGAAATAACTCCAGTACCAAGCCTTCCTCACACTGGAAGGCCAGCGAAGGCAGCGGGGAGGAGCAGGTACCCTGCAGCTGCAGGTCAGAAGGCTGTTGCTCTTTGTGAGTTGGAGAAACTATAGAAAATAATATAAATTTTATAAGCTTTTCCAGTGAGAATAAATATTATAGTTAAAAAAAGGTAATGAGTTCCACAGAGAGTTGAAGCTGCATTACTTGGGTTTCAACAGGCACCTTCACGGTGACAGCCCTGGGTCCACCAGCTCTGACTGTGTCCAGAACGGGTCACCAGACGATGACTTACTACAACTGGGGCATGTACACTGCCTGGCAAGGCTGGAGAGCAGACATAGCTTTGTGGGTTTCAAAGTGTTTATAAAAACTACAACAAACTAACTCTACTAACTTTACCCTAAATAATTTACCTGAATGATCACGTAAAGACAGAGTGCCTGTTCACTTAGTCACGACTTTTCAAAAAGAGTGCTATTTTTCTCGGTTTCGTTTGGTATCCGTTTGTTTTAGTTTGGTATTCAGTTGGCATAACCGTTTCATCACGATTGGTGCCATATTTTACGATGCCACAATCAGTGGCTTAGGAGAGCTTTGAACCCACTGGGTGAGCTCCTTGAATAACGCAGTTGAATTAACTCCACAGTATTTAAACTGACATTTATGTATTCTTGGAAGTACACAGTGATTTTTCAAGGGATACATGGAAACATGGATAGATTTTAAGAGGATCAATTTCCACCTTCTTAACTTCACACACTCGTACCTACAAATGACTTTTCCCCACCTCCCATTTCAAATAACCCCTTTCTCAAATTGCTTTAATACCAAAACCTCTTAAAACAAAGAGACAATTTAAAATAGTGGTGCTAATAAAGTCTCACAGCGTCTCCAGAACTCCACCAGATGCTGACAGATGCTGAGAGTGGACCTGTATGAGTTTTCAGCTGATAGATCATTAAACATAACTTGTGATGATAGAATTCTCAGTACTTTTTGCCATCTTAGCTCAGGTGGAGATCAAATTAAGAGCAATTGTTATGGAAGCAATTCTTAAGGCTTCCTTAAAAAATAAGAGCAACAAGTAGAAATAAAATTGATGCCAAATTGCGGGAGCCACAGTTCTCAGTGTCAAAGAACAAAGTTCCAAAGACGGAAGTGAAGTGGCTGGAAAGAACTCTGTGGTGTTAGAAGGAGGTGTCAATATGCAGAGAGGAAGAGAGAGAGAGAAGATGGATATCGAGGCGTTGGCGTAAATTCTCTTCTAAACTAGTGAGGAAAGGGGGGAAAGGATGAGCCAGTGGGAAATCTGGCAGACACCACCCTAACAGAGTGCAGAAGTTAGCATCGCCAGTAATCAGGCGTGTGCCCGCCCACAGCGGACGCAGTGAGAACACAGCATTCTGTGCGATTCCTGTCAAAGTGATACCTTAGTATGATCATGAGAAAACACCAGACAAAATCAAATTCAGAAACACTCTATAAAAATAACGGGCCTATACCCTTCAAAAATGCCCAGGTCACGAAACACAAGGAGCAAGGAATGGTTCCAGGCTACAGGAGACTGAAGAGGTCTGCCGATTAGGCAGCGGTGCAGCAGCTGTTGCGGGCGGAACGGTGGCCCCAAATCCACGCTGAAACCCTGATCCCAAGACCCTCAGAATGGCACTGTCCTTGGAGATGGGGCCTTTACAAAGGCAACTACGGTAAAATGAGGCCACTCAAGTGGGCCCTAATCCAACAAGAAGGAGAGGTTAGAGCACAGACACCCGCAGAGGGAGCCCCATGTGAGGACGTGGGGAGGGCAAGCTCCTATAAGCCAAGAGAAAGGCTTCCTGCGAAGCCAAACCTACCGACACCTGACCTTTAACGTCCGGCCGCCAGGACTGCTGCTTGAGCAGCTCTGTAGTTTTGGTATGGCAGCCCTAACAAACGAATATGGTACCAACGTGAACATCTTTATTTTTAATTATGCAGCAGAAAAATAAGATGTCCTTGTTTTTAAAAATTATAGACTTATGAGACATAGTGTCTGAAACATACTCTCAAATATATCAAAGAAAAATGGTATCTATGAATGAAAAAGACAGAAGGAGAAAGTAAGAATATGAAAGCAAAAATGGTAACAGTCTCACAGCAGAAAAGAATGCGACAATGAATACGTGTGTGTTCATGTGTAACTGAAAAACTGTGCTCCACACTGGAAACTGACACAACACTGTAAACTGACTATAACGCAATAAAAGAAAGTTAAAAAAAAGGTAACATGTTAACATCTGGGGAGCGTGAGCAAAGGTATAAGGGAATACTGTGTATTATTTTCACAATGTTGCTTTCTGTCTGAAATTATTTCAAAATGAAAGGGTAAAAAATTTGTCAAGCCTAGTTTTACTCTAATAATAGGTAAATTTTATGAATGGGTATGGTAACTATTTTTAAACCACAGCCATCTCATTAAGAAAAATAGTTTCCAATAATGTGTACTTCAAATTTTTGATAATTGTTTGTCAAAATTTAAGAACATGGTTGCTCTGGTCACATATATACTAATAATTACTACTACAGGTCAAAATTAATTTTTAATACTTATTATACATTTTTGTTTTAGAATATGATCTTAGGGTAAATAGCAAAACACTTCATAGCACAAAATATATTAGAATAAACTTCCATGGGATAATAAAAGAGAGAAAAGAATGATGCTAAAGTTTCCAATCACAAGAGCTTGTCACTGTATTTTTTGATGCCAAGTTGTTCTAACACCTAGATTCCATGGACTACATTATTCAATGATGAAAATCAATATTTAGCATACACTGGAAATTACACTCTCTGAAACTTTTAAACGAAACAAAACAAAAGCAAGCTGTCAGTATTTTTATCTCTGAGGAGATACACAGGTACGGAAAATGCTTGAAGTAAAAAGCACTTGACAACTGCTCTAGTTTATTTCCCGTGAGCCAAGTAACAGCCACCGTCCCCATGACAGGGCACGTGGCGACGCAGAGAGAGGGCGGGCGCGTACTGAACAGCACTGATGGGACTGCAGACAGCTATCCTGAGTCACCAAGGTTTTAGTTTTTTTTTTGTTCCTAGTCCTCTCTCGGCTGTTTCCATTAGTTATTCGGTTGCTCCTGTGGAACTGGGTTCTACTTCCCCAAAGGCAATTTCTCTAAACTACTAAGGTGATTATTCCCATTTATGCTGATTTGGCTTCATCAAAAGGTTAATAAAGTTTTCCCTAACTTCAAAATTCCAATAATGTCGCTAAAAGATTCGAGCTTACAGAACACTAAATACTTAACTTATTTTAAATGCAAACGTGTAAAAGAAAGATGAGAAGTTCACCTACGTGAGAGGGAGACTTCACAGAGTAACGGGAACCTCAGCACGTCACTCAGTCGGGACGGCAGGCCTGCGTGAGGATGAAACGAGGTCGCGCCTGGGAGGCATCCGACGGCCGTGCTGAGCGGCTGCCTCGCTTTCCTCACACAGGAAGCCTTCCTGGCTGGTGCCAAGGCACCGCGTGCGTCTTTCGCTTGTACGAGAATCTCAGAGGCGGTACGAATGGCAAACGTAAGGGTCTGGATAACCCGCTTTGTGCGTCAGCAGACACCAGGAGGCAGACACCTTACGCTTCACCGTTTCACCCTTACGTCAACCGCGTCTTTCATTTTAACAAGTTCACACCTTGAAATAAACGCCAAATATTAGGAGATTCTTTCTCTTCTAAGGCACTTTGAGGTGTTTCCTAAAATACGCTCCATCAGAAATCACTGTTGGCTTATGAAAGTGGAAAAAAAAAACAAACTACTTCATTTAAAAGTTAATAAAATTTAACTTTGAGTAGTAAAAAAAAAAGGTATTTAAAAAAGTATCACTTACATTGGCACAGTGTAAGGCTAAAGCACAAAAGACAGCAAACATTTTGAAGTTGTTTTCATCCGTTTTCGAGAAGGCACTGCCACTGATTTTGTTCACCATCTGCACCACGCCGATCACGCTGCCCCGGCTGACGATGGGCATGCACAGGATGTTCCGGGTGGTGTAGCCCGTGTACAGGTCCACTTCTCTGCGGGACGTCAAGGAGCAAGACAACACCACCAAAGGAAAAGGCAAAAGGAAATAAAGCACACCTTCCAGCACGAATCTCGGCTCCATCTTGCTATCTACATGCTTCTGGTACACTTAACTGTAACGGAACTGTCAGCTTCTAAATTCAAAGACGGTGTGACATTTGCAAGTGTTTTGCTGAAATTTTTTCAAAAATATTCTAATCAATTTGTTTTGTTTTTCAAGACAGATTTTCAGAATGGTCTCTAGGAAGCTTTCTGCTTATTATTTGCTTTTAAGCATTCAGCCTTACACACACAGACAAACTGTGCATTCAGAGGAAAAATATTAATACATTTGGTAAAATAACACATTCCTTTGAACTTGGTCATATTTATGAGAGGTACAACCTGTTGAACAAACTTAAGGGGGAGTTACCACCTTAGCAATTTCGAGGAGAGATCAGCACACTACAGACCATGGGCAAACCAGCCTCTCCTGTGCTGTCCACGGAGAATTCATGGAATGCAACCAGCTCGCTCCTTAACGCAGTGCCACCACCTGACAACAGGGCTGAGGACTTGGGCCTGGGGTGCTATGGCCTATAAAGCCAAAAAGACTCACTATCGCATCCTCAAAAGAAGAGGCTGGCTGACTCCTAATTCAGAGGAAATCTTTTCTGGAAATAGGACTCAGTTCCATAGAAGCAACCATATAACTAAAGGCAACTAGTTAGACGGTCGTCTTCTGCGTCTGGCTGCTTCTACTTCAAGCAACGTTCTTGAGATGCAGCCCTGCTGGTGCATCATGCCTCAGAGGCTCTGCCCTTTTGATTGCTGAGCGGTCTTCTACGGTATGAGTATATCACATTTTATTTATCTATTCACCAGTTAATGGGCATTATTACTTATTAAACGTCAGTTTTTGGCAATTATGAATGCTGCTGCTCTCAAGATCTGTACACAAAGCTTTGTGTGGACAGGTGTTACTCTTCTCGGAGAGCACCTGGGAGTAGAGCTCAACAGTACAGGAAGCTGCGACTCCGTTTTCTGAAGTGGTTGTACCAATAAACACTCCCACCAGCAAAGTGTGAGGGTCCAAGTGTCTCCATGTCCTTGCCAACCCTGCTATTACCAATTTTTAAAAGTATTAACCATTCAAGTTGGTATGTAGCAGGATCTCACTTAAGTTTACTTCCCTCACGTCAAACATCTTTCATATGTTTAATGGCCATTTCACAGATCTCTTGTAAAGTGTCTGCTAAAATCGTGTATCCTATTTATTAAATCAGGTTATCTTGCAGCTGTGTGGGGAGAGTTTTTTATATCTGCTGGGTACAAGTATTTTGCCAGATGGATGTTGTGCAACTATTTTCTCACAATCTGTTGCTTAATAGTTGCCCCATAAATTTTCATATAAAGGCTTTATATAAGGATATACAAATATTTTCAATATTTAAGCACTAAAATAACAAGTCTGGTTTTTTGAAGGGAAAAACTGTTATTTCCAGCATACTCTTGATTTACTGATGAAGCGTATTACTCAGATACAGCTGTGCTTACAGACGAGGTACGTATATTTGACATTAATCAGACATCTGAAAAAACTTCCTATTGCTTATGTTACTGAATTGTCCCTTAAAGGAAAGCCAACGTTGCAATGGACAGAACACTGCTGTCAAAATATCCGGACTATTACCCCCAACAGTCAGAGCTTCAATCTTGAGACTTTCAATTTTGAGAGATTTACTAAAATCAACTTACATAAACTGGTTTCTAGTTGCCCAAAGCAGCTCAAAACAAAACAAAAAGTCTTCATAGGCAACCCTAACAGCCAACTTTAACAATATTCAATGAAGACAGCAACTTACTGAGCTCCTACTTGTGTCAGGTAAAGCTGCCAGACCTTCTATGAATATTTTCTCTAATTTAAAAAAAAACTACAAAATAGGTATTATCATGCCCACTTTAAAGATGAGAAATCTGGGGCTCAGAGAGACTAAGTAACTTAACTCCAGGTCTCTCTAGAGCTAATAAATGACAGAACCTGGACTCAAAAGTAGGTACTTTTATCTGTGTTACAGCCTTTTAAGGTATGGTTTGACAGAGTGTGCTCAGGACAAAATGATGACATTGTAATGGAAAAAAGCAACTTCATAAATTTAAACGATTGCTTTTCAGTTGTTTTTATAACATTTTAAACTCCTGTAACTGGAGATGATTAATGGTTCAGAATCCATCAATTACAAATATCTGAAAATCCTGACTACTGACAGTAGAGTCGGTTCATACAAAGTGTCCAGCACCAAGGAAGGAAAAATCTAACTGAGCCGGGACGTGGAGAACCGGGCTCTGCTGCAGCTGTCCAGCCACGCGGGACACGGAGGAGAAGCCGCTGGAGGACGCAAACTCTTTCTCACCTGTTGAAGCGTGGGTCTGCGTAGGCATCTGGAATGTTCAGGACTTCCCCCGTTCTCGCTACTTGGCCAGCAATTCCTTTCTCAATGGAAAATCTGCACATGTAAGAGAGAAGGACATGCTGATTTAAGCACAGCGGCTGTAAATAACTCGAGACATTTCAGTACCAACAAATATTGAATAAAAAGACTGTTTCACTTTAAATGTTTGAGTTGGTTTTACATTTGCATACTCTAAATCATGTTATTCTTATGAAATATGTGGAAGTAAAGCAGAAAAGCACTGCGCAGTAATCTCTTGAGAACCTTGTTTTAGGATATAATTCACAACATATTAAATTGTACTGGGTCACAAACTGAAAACTTAACTAGCATTCTCCTGCACTGACCAATAATAATCATTTATATTTGCAAAACGCCTTGTAATTTACAAGACGCTTCAAAATGATTTTTAAAGAGATCTGTTTATGTTTATTTATTTGTTTACTTAATGGAGGCGCTGGGGATTGAACCCAGGACCTCCTGCAGGCTAAGCATGTGCTCTACCACTGAGCTAGACCCTCCCCCCTCAACAGAAATTTTCTTAATTAATTCTCATTGTGAACTGAGGCCCATATGGGTTTAGTCACTTGCCAACACTCTTAAAATATTAGGGACACAATAAAAACAAGAATGTTGGTCAACACCAGTGTACTTTCCACCACGCGATAACCAGACCCACAGGTTGTATGTGATCTTGAGATGCTGCAGAGGACTTGATCTTTAAGGCCATTTACAAAACAGGTACTATACCACAATAACGCCAATTTACAACATCTAGTATTTTTCCTTCTCTAATTTGTTAAATTCAATAATAGCCAAAATGCAGGAATTATCTGATTACACTTCAATATGTTTTGATACCTCAAATCGGCATTTTCTTTTACATAAATATATTCTCATATTTATAAATAGCTTTCTCATTACAATATTATAATCATACATGCACTCATCTGAAATTTAGTTAAGACGTCTTATAATCACAGCATCTACACATTTCAATAGCTTAAAAATTACTTTCATAATATTACATTTTCAACATTACAGAAAATAGTCATTATTGAAGTAAAACTCCACCCTAAGGATTTTCCCTGAGGGAAATTCAAAAGAGAGTTGACACCGAAGAGAACTAATTTTCTTAAAACACCAAAAAGTGAACCCAACACTGCATTGCAGAGTACAAGGCTGTCTTCCTCCTGGTTTTCTTATGCTGTGAACAGCGTGAACACAACAAACTAGACTGCCCTGTATCAGAACCACTTCAGGTTTGATTTTCCTGATCTCAGGGTAGTTCTCCGTGGTCTGCCATCCCCGGTCAGTGGAAGGTATAAGTGAGGGCACGCCTTACATCAACCGCGGGCATCACCAGTCGGCAGCTGAGAGAGCCACAGCCAGCCACATCCCCTCACCGTTTACTCATGCTTGTAAATATCCTAGTTACCAGCCTCGAAATGAGGTCAATGCCAGCACTCAAATCTAAAGCAAGAGAGAGAACTTTCCCTAACTGACCATATCCAGACTGATGTACTGAGCTCTAAATAAACAAAAATAAAATAACTTTTTTAGAAAACCTAAATAGTGCCTATAGTCAGTTATGTGAGTATGGAGCATAGGTGGTGTCACCCCAGGACCACGGCACAGGAAGTGCCCAGTGGCCGGCGGCAGCGACGCCCAGTGCGGGCCCCAGTCCCTGTCCCCTTCACACCTGCGAGTTCCCTTAGGACAGACAGCCCAAACGCACAGCAATTCTTATTAGTAAGAAGCTAGGGTGTTACTAGAACGCTGTGACTACCAGAGCCCTTCAGAGGACGACATGGAAAAGCAGTTAAACAAGACACATGAAGCAAAAGAAATGCAAGTGACTTGAAAAGAAATGCACTTTCTGACTGTTAAGCTTGATTCTTAAAAGCTTTGCGACAGTACTCCTTGCAGGTGTTCAGACTGTGACGTGACAGCCACTACAGCTCCACCAGCCAAACGAGCCATTCACTTAAGTGACAACAGCTGCCACTGAAAGAACGAAGAAGGCTTTCGTTTCAAGATGCAGTGGAAGTGTGTGCTCTCTGACTGATTAAACCAACTGCTCAGTTACAGAATGAGCTGAAGTTCTCAAACAACCTGGCTCAGCTTCCCCTGTGGCCTGGACTCAGACAGCCCTATAGGTTGGGGAGGGTGGGGACAGAACTGTTTAGGTACACCTGCTCCTAGACATAGGAGACCCTGCAGACTCCAGGCGGGGTGCACCTTTACCTACCTGGGAGCACTAGTAAGTTTTTCCAACATGATTTCCAAAAGGACCGCCTCCGGAAGACGGCATTTCCAGGAGTGACGCTAACGCTTCCTAGGCGCGGTTTCGCTGGCACTGCCATGTCATTCCCAGAAGCACTACCTTCAGGAGGCGGGTCCTGGTGGGAATGATACCACAGTGTGACAAGTGCTGTCAGCACACCTGTGCACAGCACAGAAAAGTGGGTGACAGGACACCTGCGCAGCTGCAGCCCCAGCACCGACGCGCTCCTCCGGGCTGTACCTGATCTCTTTGGTCTTCTTGAAGACAGGTTTCCCCTCCTTCTCCTCTCCAATATCAAACAGGTCTGAATATAACTCCTTGTTCTTATGGTCGACCTGGAAAAGGGCACAGCGATCGGCATTCACCAGGTTTTTTGCATATATCTAAAGACAAACAAGAAACAAGAGTAAGCCAATGAGCGGTTCAAAGAGTTTACAGGTAAACTTTATCAGAAATGCCCATTTCAGCTATTCTACACTGTAACGGAGTGGGAAATTCGCATTATAAATAAATAAATGCGGGTATACAAATACAGAAGATGTAAGTCAGTCTCTGTGCCGCGCCGCGTGCTGGGGATGGAACACTCAGCACGCCCGGGCGGGCTGGGGCAGTACTGGCCTGCCGCCGGGCTCCTCTGCCAGGGCCTCGCGGGCCTCCCCGGTGCCCTGGCCGAGCTCTGTCGGCTTATCTAAGGCCAGCATCCATTCCAACTGCTTGGTGTTCCCAACATTCCAGTTGTAAAAAATACGAAGCACAACCTCTAATGAGACACACAGCGTTCCTACTGACATTCGTTGCATTTTATCTGCTGCACTAATAACAACATGTAACAATTCGTGTTTACTACGTGCCAGGCACCCTTCATATATTCCTCTCAGTAACACCGCTATTTCAGGGGGAAATTTTATCTCCATTTTACGTATTAGAAAAACTGAGGCACAGAGGGGAAGCTTAACTTGTCCCCTGGCACACGCCTCGTAAATGGCGGTCTGGTGTTTGAACTCATACTAGGCGTTCCCATGGCCTACGCTCTTTCAGCAAATAAGCTTTTCCATTTCTGAATGAAAAACTGTGTATTCATTTCATCATCCATTTGTTCAATTCCCTTCAACAAGCATTTCTTTAATGCCCAACATAGCCCACTGTTCCCAGTGGGCTGGGATTACAAATATGTTGCAAATATTGTATTTACCTATACCGAGAATTCTGGCAATCTGAACCCTCCAGATGATAAACATGAAATTACTGCTCAGAGAAAAAGAATTCTGAGAAAAAGAGCCACCACAAAAGTCTATGCAAGAGGTACATGGGCCACCTCGTGGCCAGAGGAAAACATATTATCTCATGTAAAAATGCGTTATAAATCTAATAAAAAGAAATCAGAGTGGTTTAGTATAGTTTATAATAGCAGAAAAGACAAGGACGCAATCTGGGGATGAACCTGGGTTCAATCAGCAGCACCTCCTTTAAAAAAAAAACTAATAAATAAATAGACCTAATGACCCCACCCCCCAAAAAAACTCCTCTCTCTTTCCCTGCGTCTCTCTTTCACGTCAGACTTGCTTTGAGCTTATTTGTTAATCAGGACTCGGGTGTAAGTCAGAAAATATTCATTAATTGCATTACAGATGAGGAAGGGAATGCAAGCATAGATCAGAAGAATATTTAAAGCACCTACCACTTATAAAATTGGCTGGAAAGTCTCACTCACGAATTCTCAGCTTGCAGGGTGAACCGCCCCGCCACAGGGCGTTTGAGGGCAGGCGGAGGCATTTCTGTTTATTCCACGGACTTGTGTAAAGAGGAGTGGTTCTGCCCCAAAAGCCAACATCACCCCAACTAAGAAACACTTTATTAAGATGAAATGATAACCTACGAATTTAAAGATTACCCCAAATTTGCTCATCTGGAAATAAGAAAATAAGAAATCTCATCTATATGAACAAAAACATTTTCAGAAAAAAATCTAACCTCAGTCTCCTCTTTGCCTCCTCTAATCCAGGGTTGTCTTTTCAAAACAAATCTGATCTTACACCCTTTAGTTTAAAAGAACTCTCTACAAGGTCCAAGTGACTTGGCCCTTCCAAGGGCATCTGTACACAGAAGCACCCTGTTCCTTCCTCCTCCGAAGTGCACCCATCTCTCCTCTTTGCCTCCTTGGCCCTCCCACACCCCTCAGTCCTGGGAGGTTTCCTCGACTGGGTCAGATCTTATTAGGAGCTTTCACAGCACTGCGTTCTGCTCCTTACAGTCCATACTGTGACTGCAGTTTACACTTACGATGGCATTTGATAGAGGTCTGTCTCCGCCACTACACTAGAAGCTCTGTAAGGACAGAGACTGCGAAGACTTTGCTCATCGTTTGGAACTCCAGCTGTGACTCATGTGCTCTAGGCAGTACAGGCGTTCCCAAGAAACATTACAGCAAAAAGGGACGAGGGAAAACCGGAAGTCAGTATCTCAGAGAAAACTGAAGGGACAATCCGAGATCTGTGCCCCAGCAGGACCAAAACGGTTTTGCAGCTGACGCCTACCAACTCTTGAAGGAACAAATCATTCACTTACTGCTTAGGCCATTTTAGTTTATAGAAAAGGCTGGAACATTTCTCAGGTCATTACATAAGTGTAGCATAGCCCCAGCACCAACACCCTCCAAAGACAGGAAAACAGAAAACCAGTGAGCAGTCTCACTTACGTACACAGACGAAAAAGTCAGAAACAGTGTAACCAATTTAGGAGTAAAGATTACTCCTAAGGGTTATTCCAGAGATGCGAGAGTGGTTTAACATTAAGTAACTAACACAATTTCCTATTCTAGTTGATTAAAGGAAGAAAAACCACATCATTTTAATAACAGCTTATAGAAATTTAATAATGCTCGACACCCAGTCTGATGCAAACTCAAAGCAAATTAAGAACAGAAGGAAAAGTCTTTACGCTGATGAATAGTATCTACTGGGGAAGCTTCAGCAAACACATACAGCAATGGAATGTGAGAAGCAGGCACAGTAAGGAAACTGCATCCACTCTCACTGGTTCCATTCAACAGTGTTCTTAAGTCCCAGCAAATGCATTAAGAACAACAACAACAAAAATAATGTAAACACTGGAAACACAGAACCACTGCTCTCCTTATATGGATTATAAATAACTTTCTTTCTTGAAAATCCAAGACTGCAAACTGAAAAAACTTACCAAACACGCAGGACCAAAGCCAATACACTCAATTGAAAGAGATTTTTTTAAAAACTAAAAATAAGACATTTTTGTAAGAGAAGACTCCATATGCTAAAAATATCAACTCTACCTATGATTTTATTAAACTTAAGGTCATTCCAATATAAATCATCACCATGATGGATTCATCACAGGAATGCAAGGTTACTTTAACATCCAAAAAGGCCTCTATATAATATACTACATATCAATAGAATAAAAATCAAGAAACACACGATCATCTCAATAAATGCAGAGAAAATGGATGGTGACCAAAATCCAAAATCAAATTATGATTTAGAACACTAAAAAAATACTAGGAATAGAAGGGTACTTCCTCACTCTGATAGAGGCTGCCTATGAAAAACCCACAGCAAATCCACCTACTTAATGCTGAAGGACTGGATGCTTCTCCTCTGAGATCAGGAACAAGACAAGGATGTCCACACTCCCATCCCCTAATTCAACACTGCCCTGGACAATCTAGCCAGGACAGTTATGCAAGGGGGAAAAAAGCATCCAGATGAGAAAGGAGGAACTAAAACCATCACTAATTGTAGATGAGATGATCATGCATATAGGAATCTCTAAAGAATCCACTAAGAAACTATTGGAAATTAGAGCTCATCAAGGTTGGAGGGTACAAGATCAAAATACAAAAACTAATTTTGTTTCTATATATTTCTCAATGAAAAATCTGAAAATAAAATTGAGAAAACAGTTCCATTTATAATAGCATTAAAAATAAAATATCTAGAAATAACTTTACCAAAATGAGAGCATACTTATACTCTGAAAATTACAGAAAAGAAATTAAAAAGATTTAAATAAATGGAAAACACCCATGTTGATGTACTGGAAGATTTAATATTATTCAGATGGTAATATTCCCCCAAATTATCCACAGAGTCAAAAAAATCCCTGCCAGAATCCCCTCTGAATTATTTGTAGAAATTGACAAGCAGATTTCTAAAATTTATATGGAGTTGCAAGGGACCCAAAACAGCCAAAAAATATTGAACGTGGAAAACAAATTTGGAAAACTCACACCTTCTGATTTCAAAACTTTCTACAAAGCAACAGTAATCAAAACAGGGTGAGGCTGCCATTTAGCTGGACATATAAAGCAGTTCAGTAGAATTGAGAGCCTAAAAAGAAAACCACGTGTCTGTGCTGAAACGGTTTTGACAAGACCGTCTGAAGGGGAAAGAACAGCCTTCCCAACAGAGGGCGCCGGGGCGGCAGGCGGCCTCGCACCGCCAACAGAAGCGAACGAACGCGAGTCCAAACACCAAGTGTGAAAGCTAAAGCTAAGAAAGTGCTGGAGTAAATTTTCATGACGTCTGATTTGGCAATGGATTCTTAGATGTGACACAAAAAGCACAAGAAACAAATTAGGCTTCTTCAAAATTAAAACCTTCTGTGCTTCAAAGACACTCTCAAGAAAGTGAAAAGACAATATGCACAGATGGGAGAAAATACCTGCCGATCATGTATCAGGCAGGGGAGCCGTATCTGTGCCTGGAACACATGAAGAACTCCCACAGCTCGACAGTAAAAAACTCAGCTGAAAAGCAGCCAGTGAAGCTGACGCCTCCATCACAGGAAAAGATGCTCAACATCGTTAATCACCAGAGAAATGCTAGTCAAACCGCACAGACAGCACTCCACGCCCCCTACGAGGGCAACAACCAAGAAGTAAGATAGTGGCCAGTGTTAGTGAGAATGTGGAGAGACCGGAGCGGGTGTGCGTTGCTGCTAGGAGTGTAAAGTGGAAAACAGTTTGGCAGTCCCTCAAAAAGTTAACCACAGAGTAACCATGCGACCTAGCAATTTCACTCCTACTTAAACACATCTGAAAACAGGTATCAGAATAAAAAAATTTTACCCAAATGTTCTGAGCAGCACTATTCGCATTAGCCAAAACACAGAACCAATTCAAGTGCCTGTCAGTTGATGAATGGATTTTTTAAAGTTGTTGCATGTATATCCATGCAACAGAGTATCACTTGGCTATAAAAAGGAATGAAGTCCTGATACAGGCTACAAACATGGGTGAACTTTGAAGACGTTATGCTAAGTGAAGGACACAAAAGGCCACTATTACATAATTCCTTTTATGTGAGACGTCTAGAACAGGTAAACCCACAGAAAAAGAGAGTAAATCAGTAACTGCTTAGGACTGAGGCGTCGGGGGAATGGGGCACAGAGGTGAGAGCTAAAACGGCGTGAAGTTTCTTTCTGAGGTAATGAAAATGTTCTAAAATTGACTGGTGATGGCTGCAAATATCTGTGAATATACTAAAAACCACTGAATCAAACACTTTGAGTGGATTAATTGCATGGTACCTGAATTATATCTCGCTAAAACTTTTCTTAAAATATAATTTTAATAATACAAGAACTGGTTACTCAGAGTTTCTTGTACTCCTTGTACAAGCTCTACGTTGGTTCATATTATATCTACATATTTTGATACTTTTCTTATATTTATTGCTTTACCAATTCCTTAAATTTTGTCATAATCAAAGAGGTTATTCTTTCCATGCAATCAATTTCTCTCTTTTTTTGTCCAAATACAGTTGACCCTTGAACAATGGAGAGGTTGGGGGGCTGACCCTATGTGCAGTTGAAAAATCCATGTATAACATATCATTGGCCTTCCACACATGCTGTTCCTCTGTGACCATGGTTCCACATCTGCAAATTCAACCAACTGCAGATTGTGTAGTACCACAGTTATCTACTACTGAAAAAACCCACGTATAAGTGGGCCCACACATTCAAACCCATGTTGTTCAAAGGTCAACTGTAAAATCATCAGTGTCACTAATTACATAAAGAATGTGCTGAAAGTAATAACCCCTAGTATTACCTTCAGTAAACTATTTCTACAGGACACTGAGCAGATCACACTCCATATCTGCCCTACCATGGCATCCAAGAGATTAGTTACACCTGAAAAAAAAACCCTTACTGCACAGGATTACAGTAGTTTGAAAAAGACCAGGGAAATGAGAAAGAGAAAGGACATTTATCAAAATATACAACAGGACATGGATGCACCAAGCAGGCCAGCCTGGCCACCCACAGGGTCCCAAACACATCACTCTGACCACTGGGAGCCACTTCCTCAGTGGAGTCTCTCCAGGGCACTAAGCAGCAACCCAGGGAAACATGGAAAAAAGACTCTGCTTCATAAGGCTTTCAGGCCCAAGCGCCTGCTAGTCTTCTGCAAGAGAGGAAAAATTAGGACTAAAACTAAGAAGAATGAACCTCAAGATCAGGGAGAATCCACTGGAAATTCCTAATACAGCTGACATGCAAAAGGTATTCTGACGAATCATAAAGAGAAATCAAGTGTTTTTTCAGATTAGCTCGCCACTAGATAATGAAAAACTCTCAGGTACTTTCAAAACATTGTTCAAAACCCCTCCAAGATGAACAGAAGGTGACAAATAAACCAAGGCGGTGCCTCCAGATCACTACGAGCTCCTTTCATCATATTTAAAACACTGTCTCATTTACTAAAATGTTCAACCATCTAGCAGGACATGAATCTGAGGGTTAAATAAAATCATTTTCAAAACAGAAGGCAACCTACCATTATGTGTTCAAGTAGAGAATCTATTGCAACTATGTTATCAAAATATGTTCTGGAAAAAAAGGAACATAAAACCTGTAAGTAACATCATTAGCACACAGAACATACTAGACATTTCCCAGTTTTGCCTACATTTAAATAAAAAACATACAGGTATATGTTGTTTGATTTTTGTCCTTTTGTGGAAACAATCAATAATATTATTTTAAAGAGATAAATGAAACTTTATCATTGACTTTAGTATAAGGACTCTAATTCCAGAAGATGCATTAAATAATTATCTTATCAGTCAGTATTCAGCATAGAGAGAAAGTCCGTAGCATTTAACTAAAACTATGAAGGAATAAATTTGGTTTCACCATATTTAAGATCTCATTAATAACTGTGATCTGAAATTAAAATATTTAAATTTGCTAAATCTCATTAATATGATAAAAATATAAATTATCACTGAAAAGCTCTAAAGTTAAAATGTAGTGTAACCGTACTAAGAAAGCACTGCAATTCATTTGAGAAGAAATGTCAGAATACAGGTAGTGATAAGGCGCTCACAGCTTCACTCAGGTAAAATACACATTCATCATTATCAACCGCAAGTCAGTGTCCTGGAGGTACATGGCATACACACTAACACGTGGACCTGCACAGCGGACAAGTCAGTGGGCGTGTATCACAGGGAGTATGAAAAGAAGAGTCTTGATAGAGACTCCGTCGGGAAGGAGCGGCTTTCAGTTTAGGGGTGTGGAAACGTAGCAGTGTACTCAGCGTTAAGGTAATTTACAGTCATACACACTGCCTTTCGTAGAAGACAAATCGCTTAGCTTGACGCCACTGATTCGCTTAGTTACAGCGTCTGCTGAGGAACACATGGCAAGGAACAGGGCGAAGCAAATGGTCTTCCCACTGGGGAAGAGACATAAGGCGCCCCGGAGGGACTTCGCTGGACGGCGGGAGACGAGCAAAACACTACACACGTTGGCGCCCAGAGAAGGCGCACAGCGTGCTCTCCTGCGAGCTTTGCGGTAGGAACGCCCTGCGTCCCAGAGGCACTGTTCAGTTCTGTCTCAAAGAAGACAGCTGGCCCAGGGGACCGAGAGGGAACTCTCCCAGTCCCACGCGTCTCTAATTTCACACTTCAAGACACGAAGTAGCAACTTCAGGATCACTGGTGAGGGGATTACTTCTCGATGAGGGACTCAGGAAGCGCTGCCAAAGGGACGCGAGCAAGAGCGTGGCAGGGTCGCCGCTGGCGGCCGGGCAGGAGCGGGCACGTGGTTCCTTCAGTTAACCTGTCAGAGGACGTGACCTGAAGTCGCCACGTCCTGGGGCAGTTTTTAGATTTCAACAGTTAAGTAGATGGGTCAGATAGACACAGATCTTCCCCATAGCAAGCAAAACCGAGGAGCCTGACATTAATAAATTCTTGTAATTGCTTCCACTGCCAGCCTGAGGGGGTTTTTCTAGGTCAAACTTCAGGGAAATGGAACATTTTCTCAAAAATGATATCTGAGCTACTATACATGGAAAAATTAAAATAATAATATCAATACCATGTTTTAATTTATTGACATTTGTAGAAAATGCCAGAGAGGATTTTTTTGAAAATAATAAACTAGAGCGTTTCCTCCCCAGCGGCTGCTGCAATTTCCTCCTGCAGAAGCGGAGAGACGTCGCGTGCTGCGCTCCATAGTCTCCAACACGCTCTAGGGAGTCTGTTTAGAAAACACACACCAAACTGCAAAACAAGATCACCACATACGTACCTCTGCACTCCTCCACTTGTAAAGTGAACATGGGTGAGAAAGCAGTTATGATCCAAAATACGGTCAGGCTTACCAGGCTACCTCAGTGCCTCCCTCGTAAAGACCGGCCTTCTGCTGGCTGCTGCCTGCAGCGGACGGCAGGCTGCCCCCGTCAGGGCCTGCACCCGGTTTAAACTGTTGACCAACAAGAGCTACCACAGCCCTAGAAATGAACACTTACTTTGATACGTCGAGTAGAAAGTCATTCAATTCAGTCTGTTTGGCAAGACCTCTGCATACCTGCCATATAAAATAATGGCTATTAATTTTAAGGGATTTATGCTTATTTAAGAAAAAATTCCAGAATGTATTCACCTTATTTATTTAAAAAAAGCATAACACAATCAATACTTTAATGCTTTAAAAAATTGTACTTGGACACGTATTCCACTGACACTCAGTGATGTCAAATCCAACATGTCCTTGCTCCGCATACCACCGTCCTAAATATATGTACATGGATCTATTTCTCCCTATCACACAGGTCCCCGTCAACCTGAGTCTGCCGAAATGGACTTAAAGAAACAAACAACAAAAAAGAAGAAGTGGAAGATACATAACAAAGTTCTTCAGAGGGGGAGGGTATAGCTCAAGTGGTAGAGCATGTGCTTAGCATGCCCGAGGCCCTGGGTTCAACCCCCAGCACCTCTATCAAAATAAATAAACCTAATTACCTCCTCCCCTCCCCAACCAAAAAATGCACAAAATTCTGTTGCCATCATGTTCCTGAGGCTTAAAGTCCAATTATCAGGAAAACCCGATGCAATTTGTGATCTTTTAAATTAGATCATGTTTTCAAAATAACCAGTTGTCTTAAATTTAAAATTAATGTTTTCATATACTACTTAGTCTAGTATTTTAATTTAGGGGATGGCGTCATAAAAATATCAGTGTTACTGCCAGTAGGAGACTGTTCCTGGGATTTCAGTGGAAAACCAAAACCTAACAAGAGAGGACACATATCATTTACTACATAAATGATTTAAAATTCTATATACATTATATATACACATATATAATTGGAAGATATTTAAGGCAGGGCATGAGTAAATATAAGTGAATAGTTTAAACATTTTAAAAATAACAAAATACCTCATGTCCAAAAATAAAGCATTGGGTTACTCATTAACCTCCACTCCGCCCCCAGGGCTACACTCTAGACAAGCCTCCTCTCTTAGGAAGCCCCAAAGACACACCTGCACCTGATGTATTGCTACTGATGCCCAGGCAAGATTTGCTGTTGCAACCTGGAAAAAAGCATGAGACAAGCCTCCATCAGTCGCACGCAGGCATCCCGACAGAAGACTCGGCGCAAACACATACGGTGACTTTTCTGAGCTCACTGCATTTTTGAATACTTTGCCAAACACAAATTGCCAAATACGTACAAAGTTTCTCTTTCACATGTCCCACTTCTTTATAATTGAGTTTAACACACTCTTACTCCTCTCAGTTTTGGAGAAAAAGGAAGACAAACTGATTAAGAGAGCTATCATCCGATGAGTTTAACATAAAACAATTATTTTTCAGTTCAACAACAGTACTATTAAAAAGCCCTTTAATGACCACTTTAAAATGAGGAAATAGCTCCAAAACTTTGCTGACAGGTTCTCAAGCCCCTAGCTATTCGGTTTCGCTTAATAGTCATTCATTTAACATTTGTTATTGACTGGGTGCCTCCTGGGGACCAGGCACTATTCTTGGTGCTAGAGACACAGCGTCAGCCAAAGAGCAGCATGCAGGGCGCTGTGGGCAGAGAGGAAGGAAGCCAGGGACGTGCGCGCCACACTGGCTGTGACACGCACGTCACACTGGCTGTGACAAGGGCTCCAGAGGGAAGGGGCAGAGCCGGGGGAGGGGAGGACCCAACAGGGGCCACTCAAGTCTGTATGCGGTTCAGCGAGGGCTGCATGTATAGGGTGACCTTGAGGACGTTCCTGAAGACCGAGTGGCTGGGGTTGGGGACGAAGACAAGCACAGTCCAAGCAGAGGGAGGACGGGGGAGCCAGCCAGGAGCCAGTCAGACCGCTCAGGAGCCCGGCGTGGCTGCAGGGAGGGAAGGGGCCGGCAGCGCAGCAGATGGGTCATCTCGGTAAGTGGACAGAGCACAGGCCGCTGAGGGCCTTGGGTGAACACCACGGGTGACACACGACGTTATCTTATTTGGCTGCATTAATGAGCCGTTCTGAGTCAGGGAACAGTGAATGGAACATATGTTTCCCAAATGGATTTGGTGCTGAAAGCTTTACCCACGACATTCTCTAGGAAGGGGACATTTTTAAAGGGACAAAAAGACAACTAGATGTGAAATCGCGCCCAAGTCATCCTATTACTTTATGTGATTTACAATATGGAACTTTATTTTTCTTGTTAAAACGGATCCCTACTAAAATAAATTACTATATTTCAGTGTCACTCTATTTAATCCGTTTCCTCTCTAAATAACTGCAAAACAAAAAAAGTTTTTAAAAATCATTAGTATCAAAATATTATTAGGTAAATTATGGTTTTAAATATTCACTTGTTACCTATTCATTCATTTATTAACTGAGCAATATTAAGGAGGGCCTTCAGCAAAGGAGGTGCCGCTGCAGCCCAGCGAGCAGGGGGCTCACCTCCTGATGGCTCAGGCGGAAGGCCTCCTTGCCCCAGTGCCGGTAAAGCTCCAGGATGCCGATCAAGTCCCCGATCGCAGTGACAATTGGCAGACAAAGAACAGACTGGATACGTGTCCCTGACTCCAGTCCGGTACCTCTTGGAAATCGTTCATCCTGAAGACATAAAAGGGGTAAAGCTGTCAATTCAGTGAAAGAAATGGAATCCTTCAGTTACGACTCCGAGAAATTTCCCAACATCTATAATCAACAGCACACAGTCCTTTTCAAAGGAAAGCCAACAATGATGGTCACTCTACACCTTGTCTAAGATCATGCTCATCTTTAGCAACATGGAACTTACGCCCAAAGACTGCTTTAATGTCTCTTTATCCTTGTACAGTAGAACTTGATGAATGAATGGATATATATTAACTTCCTGCAGTAATTAAAGTACTTCAGACGGCTAATGTTTACTTCCTCCTCACCGGCTGTGTGCCAGAACTCTCCGAGGGGCTTTGCAGGCATAATGTCACAAGTGAAAACTACTCCTAATGTGAATGCCACAGGAACGAAATTATATAGAAACACTCTTTCTTTTCTAATTTTAAGGTTAGAATAACACAGAAGCATAAGTTAATCACAGTCATTGTAACTGAAACTCAAAGGCCCACATTAAGTATTTAGATCATCCAGTAATTACTGATTCCCTATCATGGCAAATAAAATTGGTTCTTCGACTTAAATACTTTTCTAGCTGAGCAAAATCACTCAAAGGAATACAGAGAAATCAAGTGAAATAATATCAAAACACCAATTCTATTTATCCAGTTCCTGCTGTCTATAGGAAGCTTTTCATGAGTCAAGGACAGTACAAATCTACACTTGGAATTTACAGATCTTTTGAAAGCATGCATATACGCACAATAGAAAATTTTCAAATGACAACTTATACAGCATCCACTTTTAACTGTTACTTTATAAAACTGAAACATACTTGGCATATAACACTGGAAGTTTAAGGTGCACAAACGTCGATTTGATGCGATGACACACTGTGGTGTGACTGCCTTTGTAGCACGTGTTAGTACCCCATCAAGCTGCATAATGATCTTTTCTTTCTTGTGGTGAGAATAATTAAGATCTAGCCTCTTGGCAAATTTGAAGATTATAATACAGTGTTGTCATCTATATACATTGTACTGTGAATTGTGTATTTTTAAGTACTTTTTCCTTTTAAATTTTTGATAAACTAGCTAATAACCTGATTTGTTCAAGGTCATACAGATAATTAGTGGCAAAACCAAAATTAAAACCCAGATTTTGTGACTCCAATGCAGCACTTTTTCAGAGCAAACTCATCACCCCACATGTCTGTCTGTATGCTCATCACTTTTGAAGTCTGAGCTTGTGCAGTGACATTGCATCGCCAGGCCACACGTACTCTGGAAGACCGCTCTGAGGGCTCCATTTTGCCACGTTCTCTGTACCCGTGGCCTTGGTCTGAGCCCACTGTGTGAATCTGAAGCAAGCAGACACGAAGACTCATCTGCATGTGTCCAATTCTTCCCTCCACCCCCTGCCACCATCGTAAGGACATGCCAGGGCAGCCTCACTGGGAGGGGCAGTGAGACCCATGCAGAGCACGAAGGCCGTCTGAGCCTAACCAGCTCCTAAGTGACATCCGGCTGATCTCCGACACATGAACAGGCCCCACCAGAGATGGCCCAGATCAACAGAATGGCCCAGCCCAGAGTCTCAAGAGAGACAGAGAGTGGTTGCTGTGTGATGACACCACTCCAGCCCAGGGCAGTCTGTCACACTACCAGAGACTACACAGCAGTAGCTGACTCATTCACATGTATCCTGCTAGGACATGAAACATGAAGCACTCATCACTTGGTTCACATGAATATAAATACACACTTTACTTTATGTCTAACTATCCTGGCAAACCTTGAAAGAAGAACTACTGAAATCTAGACCCTAGGGGACGTGTAAGATGTAATTTCAGGAGTACAGAATTAGCTTACATACAAATACATTTATTGATCTGTATCTTGCTTTAATGCTGCTACAAAATGGCTCAAATTATAACATCAAGAATATATGCTATCTTTCTTTAATTTTTTTTTTTGATGGAGGTGCTGGGTACTGAACCCCAGGACCTTGTGCATGCCAGGCATGCAATCTACCACAGTATAAAAATATGCTATCTTTCTTGACCAAATACTTCAGGGTACAAATGTTGCAAAGACTAAAAGGCCACTCACCCCAAGGATGTCTTCTACCAGCAGCGTCTTTCTGGACTTGGCCACGTAGGCGGAGGTGGTGGTGCCCTGGGCGATGGGCCCGGCGGGGATGAGCCTGGGTTTTCCTTCCTTGATTCCGGGCGGGGTGAACACACACAGGCTCTACGAAGAGGACAAGAGGGGGTTTACAGGCTGCCCTGCACTCCGGCACGGGACAGGGAGGCTCCCGGGTGTGCCCGACAACAGAGGAAGCCGTGAGCCAGGGAAGCACGCGACACCGGAAAGGCGTTTGCAACGACCAAGCTGGAGCGTCTGAGGCGACGTTCTCTCTCATATTTCCTGTTTCGTATTTGCACACAACATACAGGCTGGATGTAGGGCGTGCACGAATGTACACACAGAAAAACTGTTCAAATCACCCCAATTTTTACTCATAGAAAGTAATGAAATGAAAAAAATGCAAGCTGTCCCTGGGCTCAAGAAACCGGCACGGCCCCACCCCTGTGCGGGCCTGGAGCGCGGGTCTGTAACCGTGAGTCAGACTGACTTGGTCACATTTCTTTCATTTGCATTAAAGATGTTTCTTTCTCAGAACACTATTTCTTTTTTAAGTACTCAATCACTCCATTCCTTAAAGTGGCCCGCCCATGAAATTACAGATGCAGAACACTCCTGATGAAATCTTTGCTCTTCTTTGTACACACACACACACAAAGGGCCAAACCTGAGTGTATTTTTCCCTCAAAAGACTAGGGGGGAGGGTAACATTCTGAAACTATTTTAAAATACATGCTTTTAAAAATATGATTGGTTATTTTGACTAAACCCAATCATACTTTTAAATAAATTTCTCCTCAACAAGAATTGCTAATCAAAAAATCACCTGGGCAGGCGAGCATTATTTTGACATAACTGTATTCGAATTATCTACTCAAGTTGAAAAAAATTAAGGTTCTGGTAAATTCTCCCAGCACTTTACTTTCACCTTAAAATGGATAGCTATCACTTAAAAGTTGAAGACCTTCTAGAGCAGTAAGTATCAGGCAATCCTCTTCCACTAAACATGGGCCTGTTAATGCTCGCGATTACCAAGCTGGGTCCAGATGAAGACAGAGAGTAGGATGTATTTATTACCTTACTAGACAATGTGGTTTTCAAGCTTCGTCATGTCAAAGAATGCTTTCTTCAAGTAAAATCTTACAATCCTAAGAGAGTCGGCCCTGTAAAGTTGAGCTACTTCAATCACTGGGAGCAGGGAAGAGGGAAACAGAGCCTGGGCTCACCTCCTTTGCTTTAAATAAGTCACCATTGTCTAAAGACTACAAGTTAAGTTCAGAATATTTTTATTCATTAGTATACCTACATCAGTTAGAACTTGCGTTTAAGCAGTATTTGTTAAGTACAATGCCTGTGAAAATCATTGTTTAAATGCTTCTTTTGAAAAGGATTAAGCTTAAAATGTTTAAATACAAGCTATACACTTTAAAATGATTTTTAAAACTGAACTACATATAAGATCATAAATGACAATTTCACCTTATTTATTTTTAAAGAGGCTAGAAATCAGCCACTGCTTTTCTAGTTAGTCTAATTCTATGATGCACCAACATACATACGACACAGACGAAGTAAGACTTTCATTAGAGTTAGTGTTTAGCTTTGTCGCAACAGAATTCAGGCTTTCATCCTTAAGACCGAGACAAGAGCAGCAGAATGACCCAAGGACAGGAAGAGAGATGACTGTAAGAAAAAAGGTAAAGGATGTGGTATATTTAGCCTGAATAAAAGTCAGAATTGACAACAATTTTTTCAAACTATGAGAAAGTTAAACGTAAGAAGGATGCTGAGTAATGTTTCTTTTCTCAACCAAACTCAGAACTGCAGGAAATGAACTTAAACTGACCTGAGCCGTTCAGATAACTCTTAGAGAAGAACTTCCCCTGACAGCAATAGAAAGTAAACTCTGGAGCAAGATTCCAACAGAAGCTCTGGATTTACTTTAAATAGTAATTGACTGTATTTGCTTGTTGTTTGAAGATTAACAGCAGATATCTTTTTTGGATGACTTTGCTACACACCCATTAAAGCTGAATTTAGTAATACCTTCAAGTTATACTTAGCTTCATAATTCAATAATGATAAAATTGCTTACACATTCTTATGTTATTAGAAGATCATTTATTTAATATATAAAATATTTACTGCCTCTATACGGGCTTTCTGTATGATGCACGAGAAACAGACAAGCACAGACCGCACCTAGGACTTGTGGAAAGCGATTCTCTACATTAAGCTTGTTGAAAATAAATGACTCAGAAATCTTTCAGTTATCTGAGTGAATGTGGAAAACTCCCTGTGGAAAATAAATGATTATCAAAAAATTAAATAATTCTTTACAGTGGGAACTCTATACTTGTTTTATTAATTAGCTCGTGATTTTTGTTCATATTTACCAAACGGAAATGCTTGCAAATGAGAGCTGAGGGCAAGCGCTAGCAAGACACCGACTAAGTCGTTGAATGGCGGCCAAACGCCGAGGTAGGAAGGGAGGACGAGGACCCACCCAAAGCAGACGCGTTTTTGATGTTTTTACAGCTTCAATTTCTCTCCTCTGTGTGAGTGGTTTCCTACTCTTTTTTGGTGGCTTTTTTTTTTTTTCACTCCATACAATTCACCTGTGCGACAGCTCCCTTCATAACACCCATTTCCGGTCAGAGATCAGTCAGGGACGGAGCTGTGCGTCTGTACCGGCAGCTTCCGTGTGATCCCTGCCGAGTGGGCTGCAGACAGGGCATGTCAACCCCAAACCCCCAAGTCGGATGCTAAATGTTATATGCACCCAGGAATGGAGACCACTGATCAAACCCACCTTTACTTACTCACAGAAGTAATTAGACAGACAGTTGTGTACTGAACAGTCGTCTTTTTCCCACTGGCTGAAAGGACACTTGCATCATATACTGAAGCTTCACGTACACTTGGGCCTGAACTCTCAGTTCTGTACTGTTTGGTTCTTTGTCCACCACATTCTTTTAATTACTGTAAGTTTACAGTACATTCTGTGGCCTGGCAAGGCAGGTCCTGCTTTGGTTCGTCATGTTTTAAAACATCTTAACTTACAGGATGTATTTTGCTTTTTTCATTGGTGAAGGGCCTGCATTAATGAATTAACACACGATGGGTGTAAATAAGTTCTAAAGAAACTTAAGAATGAAATGGGGACTTTATTTTTCAAAATCAACCATTATAAATTTTTTTAAAGATCTACTTTTTTAAAAAAAGTAGTAATTTTTAAGTTACTTTCCATTTACAATTATCACAAACCATTGGCTATATCCCCCAAGTTGTACAACATCCTTGAGCCTGCCTTCCACCCAACAGTTTGTACCTCCCACTCCCCCACCCCTATATTGCCAATCACTATGAATTTTGACATAACAATGTTATGGGGATGTTCAGATTAGTAAAATAAAAATATTACACATTATTTATTTAGGAGGACGAAAATAGAATATTTTAAGACCATTCTGCATCCATTTACAATTTACAACGTCCACTGTTGAAGTGAATCTCTAAAGATAATTTCTGCTCAAATACTGTACAAATCGATAAAAACTTTAATGAGCACAAACATTTTTTAGAGGCTTGAGATGAAGGCTACAACTGAAAACAAGGAAAAGCTCAAAGTTTCAAACCTCAACCACTATGCTTCGCAGAGAAGAGCGTCACTGTGTTCAGGGCGTGCACTGGATGACTTGAGTGTTAGGCCCCCTCCCCTCTCAGCACCAGCAAGGAGACTGGCCAGAGAGCTGAAATCAGTTCACAGGCCACACAGTAACAGAGGGTGAATTAACTTTCTCAGTATTTCAAAGAAATTCATTATGAACTACCCAAAAGTTTTGCGATAACAGCAAACTTTCATACAAATTTCTAAAGTGGGCTCATTTAGAAGATTGGTAACAGTGGTCCTAATGGGTAAGTTGTCTCAACGAAGGAATAAAAAACCATTCAAATCATTAGAAAATCAAATTTTGAGAAATATATTTGGCGGAAAATGAACCATAGGGTAGACTATCACAAATTGTTTTTTTAAAAAACAGGATTTTTTGGATGATTGGAAAACTGATATCATTGACGTCAACTGAAAAGTCTACTTCACTTGGTAGACACTTGTTCTCGTATTTCCTTCCACACATCTTTCAAAGACCACCTTATTCATGAAACTTCATTTTTATGTTAAGGCTCAACTCACAAGCAGTTACATTTTAGAGACACTGCTTAAGAAGAAAAGAAATTATTCAGGCTTACTATTAAGTTATTTTTCTTAGAGACAGTAGGTGGCACTGCATAGTAAATGAATTTAGGTCTACGGAGAGGACTGACGGCAGCTAGCCACACTCTCTCCTGAAGCGGACCACTAACTTAGTTTGCATAATTCTTAAAAATAAACCTAGTAAGTTTCAATGTGCACTGAAAAAAAAAAGACACACAATTACTCTCAATTGCTGGCTCTAATTTGGTTTCTAAAACCAACATATAAAAAGCTACCCATGAACTTTATGAATGATAAAAGTTAACATATTAGAGTTCACAAGGGTTTCAGCTTTTACGAACTACTTGTACAGAAAATGTAAGAAAAACGAGAGTACTGACGTTTAAAGTATGTTACTTATTAAGTGGAGAAGGTGAGCAGGTATGAAAGAGAAAAACTGCAGAAACATTAAAAGTTGAATTAAGCAAAATCTGAATTATGGAAAAATCAGTTTTGTCCAACAAACATTTCAAGAGCAGCCTCCTTTCCTAGCTCCACATTTCTCACAAATTGCTTCTTCCTGTATCTGCCCTTCTTATGCACTAAGGTAGAGGTCCTCCAAGCCCCGCTCAAGCAGAGCTAATCATCCAAGCTCTTCTTAATGTCACTGATCCAGCACTCCCACTAGCCCCATCAAATTCAGGATCCCAGAGTACCTGCGTTCCTCCCTGTTCTCACATTAAGGTCATGTGCTATAATTAACTGTGAATGTCTTGATTTCCCCTACTGGTTGTACATTCTTTGAGAACAGGAATGATTTCTCATTTACCTTTGTATGCCCAGCAATTTGGCACAGTTTTTGGTACATAGCACGTATCTGAAATGGTGTGTTGAATAAATAGCATTCATG